TTTAGGTAGTATGGACTGAAGGTAAGGTCGGTTGGCAGGACTTAGTGTACTAAATTTTCATGACAGTCTTATATATAGTAAACATCTGACATTGCAAAGTAACGTGTCTAGACATATTATAAAAAGATATTAACACAGAACCAACGAAATTTTGGCATTTTTTAACAATACTGCAGTGTGTGTATACTGAAGAATGGTGGTTAGTCTACAGGGAGCCGTAGAGTAAATCAAACCATATATGATAAGAGTATAATCAATAATATAGTTCGTATATCAAATATTACACTAGGTTCAATAATTGAGTGTTATAAGGGAAACAAGCGTGGTAAAGCAAGAGAACATTTGATGCATAAATATTTTAAGTATTTTAATATCCATCTAATTTAAGAGTTGAACATGCATGATTAATAAGTATTATTATATTAGTATATACATATGTAAAACGTTAAAAGGTGTGGATGCTATTACAATTATTTCCAGTGTTACTTTCACCAACACAACTTAGTGAAAATTATAGAGAATAGAAATCAGTAAATTAGTTAACGTTCGCTGCGTGAGTATTAGAGTCGAGATATACGTATGTGACTATACTGAAGACTGGACTGGCCTTCAATTTCCGTTCTACCAACAGTTGTGGTCTTTTAGACGAGCTAGGGTGGACATGTTAAAGTGTCTTTCTAGGCTCCGTTTGAACCCATCAGGGTTTTCACAACATCTTATTTCAGGTGGTAGTTGGTTCCAAAGAGTGCAATATTTTATGGTGAAAAAGTTTGCCCTAATGGATTTTCTGTGGGTAGCCACCTTGACAAGGTAGTCGTGGTTTCGCAGCTGATATGATTTAATATTTTCCCAAGTTATGGATGAGTTACTGTAGCAGTGTTTCCTAATGACTTTGAAGAGTAGAAATAGGTTGCACTTCACTCTCCTTAACCACAGAGGCTCTAATTTCAGACGTACACACCTGTCAACATATTCCACTTGTTGGTCGAACCCTATTATGCGTTTCGTGAGGAATCTCTGGACACTTTCGATTTTTTTTTTGTCTACAGTCCTGAGGTTACTAAATAGGAGAGCACAATATTCAAGTTTGGGACGGATACATGTCCTATATATAGCTAATCTTGCTTCTTGGGTGTAGAAGTTACGCAGTACAAAGCCAGTAAGTCGTTTACAGTCAGATACAACCTTATTTGCGTGATCGGAAAAGGATAAATCTGAGTATGTTATCCCGAGGTCTGTGACTGTGTTCAGTTTTGAGAGGAGCTTACCGTACATATATAGGCACATTATCGGTTTCCAGCGTCCAAGGTGGGTTATACCGCACTTGTCTGGGTTGAAAGTCAGTTGCCACTTTTCGCTCCAATCGCCTAGATCATTTAAGTCTTGTTGGATCTTGCTTTCGACGCTCATATCACCGTACCCATAATCATATACTATCTTGAGATCATCTGCAAAAAGGTATGGCTTGCCATACTTGATTACAGAGACTATGTCATTTATAAATAAGAGGAATAGAATAGGGCCAAGAACACTACCTTGTATTACACCACTGGTTATCGGCTTTGAGGAAGACAACTGGTGGTTGATTTTGACTAATTGCTCTCTTTCTGTGAGAAAAGAACTTATCCATTTGTGAAGATTTCCGGTTATTCCGTAGGATTGGAGTTTTGTTAGGAGTCTGATATGTGGGACTTTATCGAAGGCCTTGCTAACGTCAAGAAACAATGTTGTTACCGAACGCCCATTATCAATGCTTTGTGTGATGTAGTCAAAATAATCTAAGTGGCAAGTAATGCACGACCTTCTACTTAAGAAACCGTATTGGGATGGGGATAGTAGGTCATTTGACAGCAAGTACTGAATGATTTGAGTCTTAACTATCTTTTCCATTACACGTGAAACTACAGACGTGATGTTGATGGGGCGGTAGTTGTTGATATCAGCTATAGGCCCGTATTTATGGATAGGTACAATATAAGACTTCTTCCAGCAGTTAGGGTATGTCCCATCGCTTAATGAAATTGAGTATAACTTGAGTAAGAGTAAACATTCGTCTGTTTTACGTGGGAAATCCACGACCTCATCGTTCTCTAAGGTGTATAATCTGGCGAAGTGCTTGCTAAACAGTTCACATATCGCCTCATTATTTTCGTAAGCAATGCCGTCTAAGTATATTATTTTCGGATAGGGTGTTTTGGAGTTCATCAACCTACTTTTAAAAAGTTTGGCTATTTCTCCTGAGTTATGCGGTGCATGAATGGCCTGCATTTCTTTGTTTCTGAGGCCTATATTTCTCAACTCTTCAATTCTACTGAGAAGGGACGTTATGGCAATTAATGACGATAAGTCATGATATCTGTAGTATTTTATTGAGTGCTTACGTAGACTTCTTCTAAACGATGTCGGAATATAATCACTTTGGGGGAATCTGAAGTTAAGAATCTTCTCGGGTGCAATGACGTCGTGAATTGAGTTAATATTCTGATAGAAGTTGTTAAGAATTGCATCTAAGGACTGGTTCGAAAAGTACGAGTCCCAATTAGAACATCTAATTAGGTGCTGATACAAGTCCCAGTCAGCATGTGTGTACAATCTCATATGTATCTGGCCAGCTTCATCTCTGCGTTTTGTTTCAGGAAAGATGTCAAAAGAACAAACTACTATTCTATGGTCACTACCTGGAAATTCATGTCCAACATGTACGGTAGATGGCGTTATGTTGTTCGTGAAAATAAGGTCTAGGATATTTGCGGATCTAGTGGGTGAATTTATGTGTTGTGTCCACCCTCCTGTGACGATGGAATTTATGAGATTATCGTACCTTTGGGGTCCTCGGAGTGAAGACCATGATACTTCTGGCAAGTTGAAATCGCCTCCGATAATTTTATACCTGAAGGGAAGATTGGCTGTAACATTAAAGATATTGCTAAGCATATTATCATATTCCCTGCTGGATGAAGGGGGCCGGTACACACAACCCACAAGTATAGGTTTACTTCTGACAACTTTTATTTTAACCCAGATCGAGTCATTGAGTTGTGACAGAATTGGGTTACTGCACTGGGTTGCACACATGGATTGTTCACAGTAAATTAGTGTTCCACCCCCACGACCTGTCCGTCTGTCCCCGCGAAAAAGGTTGTATTTATCAATCCTTAGGCTGTCATTGGAGATTTCACTTGTGCACCAGGCTTCGGTGATCATTATCAATGACGGTCTGCATATAGAAGCTATTGTACTTAGTGCTAAATGTTTGCTTAGAACTGATCTCGTATTTACTAGGATAATAGATAAACACTGGCTATGTGGTTTCAGTGAGCTGGCAACATCTTGGTAAAATAATCCGTGAGTATCCTCTATATACATGTTATCAGACTCATTTACCAATATCTTTGGATCGTATGAAGACTTCAGGTAGATTTTTGAGGTGGTAGTCAGGGATGGGCTTACGTTTGGATATGGTATGCAGTGAGAGACACCTGTGTGATAATCAGATATTAATATTTTAGAGATATTAGTATCTCTTTATGTGCTACACAAACAGACTTTATAGCAGACTGTTCCGACTGACTCTAATGTCAGAAAGAACAACCAAACTGTAAGTCCATTATACATCAAATTATGTGTAATTTATATAATAACTTATCCATGCCTGTACAATAGGTATGTTCCTGCATAAACAGGAAGGAATATATTATTATTATTAAAACAATATTTATGCATGCCTATACAATTGGTGTACCCTACATAGCTAGGGAAAAAAAATGTATTTATTATATTATCTTTACTAAATATGCTTATTAATATTATGTGTAAATTATCGAATTGATGATGCCTGTAAACTGGCGTCCCTCATGTAAAAAATGAGAATATATATTATTATTATTATTTATGGCCACGGAGAAATCACAAACATCCACAAAATGGAATTTCATTATTTGAAATGAAACAAGCAATCTGTATTCAGCCAATATTTTCACCCGAATAATAATCAGCTCCTCAGCTTGTTGTAGACCACAACCCGAATGTTATTCTCGCTAATTAAAGTATTACCTTTAAATGGGATAGTTCGTACACTCACCAGATCATCATGTTATCCGCTTTTGAAGTGGTTTTGCAACACATTGAATGGCCGTTAACAATGGCTTTGCTACAGGCGGTCTTAGTTCATGTATTTGAATCTAGTACATTGGGCATTAATAAGGATAGGTAACACTTACCATTCAGGGGTTTCTCATTGCTTTCAAGTTTCCTTCCGTTCCAAAACTTCATACAGGCACAACAGATTCACGCTTCTCATGTGATTCAACCTTGTTTGATTTGGATTCTCTGACAATATATCTAATTATTTAACTGATAATGTACACTGATGGTATACTCAGCTTCTCGAAGAGCTTCAAAGCTTTTTCAGCTTCAAACCGCGTTCTGGAATATCCAGGTTTAATATGCTCTTCGTAAACCTTGCCAATATCAAACCTTATCGTATTCTCATTACCAGATTGACTCGCAGATTGCTGCAAGCTGTAAACATGCATGTGAAAGACATTGCTTTTTCCAGATTTCTACACACTGATTAATCAGTTGAGCAAGAAACAATAACGCCAACCAGCAAATGGACTAAAAGCAACGGCTTTTGTCAGCTTAACACGTTCACGTGCATATTTTCCTAAACTTCCACGCATAACTACTTCATTAGTAGCATAAAAACAACTAAAACATTGCAACCTGGCATGAAAACAACGTGTGAAACAATTGTAATGAAATGAATGCACTGCCCTGGTGGTAAAAACTTCCGAAACATACGAAATTAGTCATTTTAACAGCAACGGAAACAAAAATGAGGTGAAACACAACATTTGTGGACAATGCGCATCAAGATAAGTTGTGAATAAATGCAGGATAAACGGGAAAACCGATGTGTAAACGAACGGCTACGGAAATGCAATCCAACATGGCCGACTAATATGAACGAAAATGACGTTTGAGCGTCTCACTCCGGCAATGACCTTGAGCATGCTGGATAATTTCAGCCGGATGTTGGATATTGCCGAACTTTGAATCTTAAGGTCGTCTCAAAGCGCTCTCGCTAAAGTACTGCGCTACCTTAGGACATTTGCCTTGGTTTTGTATTCAGGGAGGACTTGTGGTGTGATATACGTCAGTAATTGCCATTGATTAGATTTTGCCTTAAACAATAAATTCGCGATGGCTCCTCAATCATATTTTGACATTCGGGAAATGCCTGTTTCGGTTGATAAAGTCGTTGTTTCAGGACTAGATAGGACACACGATTCTATTGTTCGAAAACAAGTAAGAAAATACTTTAATTTTATGTGATACAGTTTGTAGGCTTGGTTAAGTCCCAAAACCTCCGCGATCTCTTGGAGAATGTAAAGGAAGCTAAGGAGAGACTTGTTAAACTTGGAGTCTTCAAGTCAGTTTTCGCTGTTGTCGATGTGTCGGATGATAGTTCGAAGTTAGATGCGTATACGGTGAGTGTGTTTATAAGCTTCAGGTGTACTCAAAGTTTTTGATCTGTTCCAGCTTATGTTCAATAATAAAAATTTAAGGCATGTGCGGTATTTCGTTCTGGCCTTGTGATTAGACCTTTTTTTTATTTTTCCAATGTATTAAATATGAAAAGTTTCCTTAAAATTAATAGACTGTGTTCCGAATTTTTTTGATTGTGACTCCCTTTATTGCTTTGTATTTGTTTAACAGAGTTCATATATCCACGAATTTTGATAAGTAGAGTAGGTATCAAGCCTCAGGACCACAGTAAACGAAGGTTTACTAGTTGTTGTTTCACCTTTTTCAGCTGTTTGTGTAAACTGACGTCGTTCCTGTCGATACTGTGAATAATGATTAGTCTTTGAGTTATAGAATTCTTCAAACCGAAGTTTAGGTCTCACGAACATTTGAATTGGTATGAAAATACAATATGTAAACATGTTAGTTGTACTGCGTAATTCTTTGGAGGTTAAATATCACATGAAAATAAATTCAGATTGTACACGTTACAATAAACTTGTTTCTTTTGTAGTTTAGAGAGGTGATGTTCGTGTGCTATTAGAGAAATCGTTTAAACACAAACATAAATAATAACCTTACAGCTGATGAGAATGTAGCTTACGAAGTGAAATTGCAACCAACACACCCCAGGTTCGATTCCCGTCTCGTCTTTTTCAGCCCGAACAACTAGGTAGTATCATCAGCCCAGAGCACGAAAAGCGTAGCCCATAGCCGGGCGCATAAATAAGACTTATTCCGCACAAACTAGCTCTTAGCAAATATAGATTTATTGATTCAGGATAGAAGGCTTAAAGCCTGTGTCAATTCTTTTCTAATATGTTTCTGTGCTTGTCTTTATCTTTCTTGAATGGTTCAGTTGAGGACACTGAAAATACATGTTCTGGGAGTCTGTTCCAACAGTTTATTACTCAGTGGGAGAACCAGTACTGTACAGCAATGTAGTTCCATCTTTGACTTTTGAACTCTTCTACTATGTCCACTGAGGTGTTCCGACCTGGTGGGAAGGAAAAGAGAAAGTAGGTCGGGTCGGTAGTCATTTCTTAACATTTAAAATATTTTGATTAGATTTCCTCTCTGCCTATGGTATGAATAAGAAGAGGAGATTCAAACTACGAAGTCTTTCATTATCAGTTATTTAAATTAATCCCAGGGTGTTGAGAAAATCGAAACAAGATATTTCTGGACGTTTCGTTGCGTAAGCCACAGCTTCTTCAGCAGATTTATTCGAATTTTTATTCGTAACACTTACAGGCTGGAAACTTATAATACTAAGTCTTTCCTCTTATGATGAATTGGCTTTACCAAGAATAAAACGTGTTGCTCTTCTTTGAACCCTTTCTGGAATGTATGAGTCCACCTTTATGATAAGGAATGGCTGCTGCTTGGATGCATTTTTTCCAGTGTTGACCTCACCAGAAATGTGTATATGTATTATATGGCAGTGAACATATTACTGGTGATTCTAGTAATGGTATAAAACTACGAACTGCCACTGCACGACAGTGTGCCGTCAATTTTAAGTTATGATGTACTAAGAAACAGATCCATTCGAATCTAAACTGTTGGGAATGTTATTCCCTCTATGTCATATGAGCTGACGCTAGCGTATATGATGTGCGTGGTTTTTCAGGAGCATCCATTATTAGGACCATTCTAACAGTTTGTAGAGGTTTTTTTGCAACGTATGTCGTTGTAACTCGTAATTGCCGTTGAAAATTATGCTATTTCACGCTGTTTGAATGAATTATTTGCTTTGTATGAACAATCAGTAGCAAGTCGTCACTGAAAATATTTTGCACAGAGGAGGGAGTGTATCATCATTCTTAAAAGTTTCTCGTGATATTTAGTGACAAATGACTTCCAAATATGGTTAGGTTTATTCTTTATTATCTCACCTAGTCGGTGTGCACTGTAAAGCAGATTGTGAAGTAGTCGATTTTCATGGATGTGCCCTCGATTTAGCTGCTTTTATAATAGTGTGTAGTCTTCCGTTTTACGATGGAGTTCATAGTTGTCTAGTGAATGAAATCGTCGATAATACTTTCATTTTCGTGTGCTCAGCATGTATGTTAAAATCATTAACTGTTCAAACTCTGTTAAGTCCGGACTTTTGGCTATTCACTTTATCTGCTCCCAGATATTATTTCGGTATTTATTTTCGTTTACGAATTATTTTCGAAAATAGTGACATAATTTTTCGTTAATTTTTTATAAGGTTACTTTTAAAGTTGTGGAGAAACGCCTTGTCACTGCTCGAATGTCTATGACACATGGGACGGATGGAGTGACCAAGGCATATGGGAATGTTCGTCTGAATAACTTCGCTAGACACGCAGAATTTGCAGATATCGATGTGGAGATTGGTTCAAACCATATGGTTTCCAAGTAATTTACATTTGTTTTCAATTCCCTTTGTTTTCGTTTGATTATTACTGTGTTGTATTTTCGCTTTGGTGGAAAGTTGGCCCCAAAATTTTTGACATTCTTACTTTAAGGCGATCCATAACCGGCGATAATGTCTCCTGGATGGATGAGACTCTACAAACTCCTCCAAACAGCCTATTTTCGATTAGCTTCAAGCATTTGTCCCTTGGGTTACGCGCTTGCGCGGAAAATATTTTTTAAAGATAGATGGAACAAATGTCCGTGAAAGCTTAGGGGTGTATAAAGTGAATCATCAGAATCCAAACAACGTCTTCTGCTGGACATACTGGTTCACTCTTGTTAAGCAGAACAGGCATAACATACAAATGGGAAGTCGTAGTTATTAGTAATGATTAAATATATGTAAGTCACCACTTTTGGTGCATTTCTTGGTCCGTGTTTTCACAATAATAATAGTCATCGTTAACCAATCAACCACACTTCTGATTTGAGAACTAGTGATACTACCTGGTTAATGAGGTCTTATCTTGTGGACAGAACTAGAACCTGTGACCCACATGTTGTCTGTCTGTCTGTTTTCGACATAGAACTTTGCATCGATGTGCAGCAGCTCAAGTCGCCACACTCCATGTAGCACACAAAGCAAGAAAAGAAAGTAGAAGAAATGCATAATAGAGACAGTAAACAAAGGTGTGAGACAAAGGAATAGTAATAATGAAGAACAATATAGTTTCATTGGAAATCATAAGTCACAAGGAGTGCATGCATCTGCTCCATTCATTGAGAACGATTTTGAGCCATGTCACCAATTGTTTCCAGCCATTGGTTTTTACCATCTCGACGACCCCAACCAGTCAGGAAGTCTACACCTTCCAAAGTGGCTGGCTGGCTTAAACTAACTGTTGTGGATTTCATTGACTGAAGAAGCCATGTTTTGATTTGACCGCCGCCAGCTCTTTTCCAGCCTGACCCTATGTCAGCTAATATTGCCCATTGTCGAGTAAGGCAATGACTAGGCATACATAACACATGTCCTAACCATCTCAGTCAATGTAATTTCACAACCTCGTCGATTAATTTCTCCTCCTTACTAAGCATTCGACTGAGGCCCCACCTCAATATTTCTCACCTTATTGTACCACTTCACACGGGAGATAGAACGCAGGCACCTATGATCGAAGACAGCTAATCTTTTCATGTCTTCCACTCTAAATGGCCAGGTCTCACAGCCAGCCATAAAGGAGGGTGGAGCGGACTGATGAGCAGTACACACACCCTTTGGTCAATAGCCGGATATCATGTCTACTCCAGAGACGGCGTAAACTGTCATATGCGAGACGAGCCTTCTATATCTGTGCTGAGATTTCGTCAGTGATCAACCAGTTGGGGGCTGAATGTACTTCTCACACAAGTGAAGTGGTCAACGTGCTCTACCACTTCACTCCTTATTTCTAAACTATGAGTCAGTGTAGTCCAGTCTGGTAACATCATCTTACATTTGGCGGGACCGAATCACATGCCAAACATTCGTAGATTGCAGCTCAAGGTGTTTAGAAGACTCTGCATTTTGTCAGCGTCCTCGCCTAGAAGGGAGGACTATATCGTCTGCATATTCTAATTCAACCAGATTATTCTGTGGTAGCTAGTGAATCCCTGAGTCTCTGAAGCGACCCACCTGTTAACGTTTGAGTGTATATATTCTGACCACTTTTTGCTAAACAGTCATATGCAACTTGTGTTATTTTCTTGTACACCGGTTTACAGTAGAAATTTTCGCATTTAAAAAAAAAACTTTCTACAAATCATAGATTTGCAACTATTTCAAAGCCTTTGGAAAGTAATCCATATGTTCGTTTGAGTATTGGTGGAACAGAAGGGAACTGGGATCATTATTGGGCTAAATTTCTACGTCATGAGCGTTCTGTTTTTACAGAAGCACAAGCAGAATCACCTATCGGGCTGCATAAATTCCAATGGGATGCTATATGGCGAGAGACAGAAGTCAAAGGTTAGTTTTGAAGTTTTTTTTGTTTTTAGTGTTCCTTTGACTCTGAAATGACCTATAGCGACTTGTTAATTGACTTTTAAGTGCTATTACTAATGTCGTAAACTTTTAGTTGGTAGATTTCAACACTTTACTTTTATTCACTAGATTATTATTCGGAATATCATCAGACTAGAGGCTATAGAAATCTCTATTTGCGGAGAAGTTTTCTACCTACAACTATATACTACTGAGTGATTGACATGAGTAGTTGCATACCAATCATCAAACCAACCAGTAGTGCTTGCTAGCCAGCCAGCCAGATCTAGATGATGTAAACACCGGACGGCTGTTTCACTTGTTCGAAGTCGAACTCATCAGCAGTGTATACTGTTTGACTCAGCTCAGAGGGCCGAATAAGTTCAAAACACCGAGTTTTTGGTTATCTACTTGGCGAACTGGTAACACCATAAATGAAACTCTCAGCCTGTAAATTAATTCTCATTTTACACAGTTCGAAGTGAAATTTCACTATAGGTTCGTTTGGAAACTGAGATGATTCAGATTGGAATATATAATCTGCTCTATACCATAAATGCTAATCAAGAAAGCAAGCTTTTTCGCATGTAACTATATACTACTCACTGATCGAGATGAGTAGTAGTTGCTTACCAGTCACCTCACCCAATTGTGTGTGTGTGTAAGTCGTAAATTAATTTGCAAATTTTGTATTGTTTAATTACACTTAATTTATTCATCACCTGGGATTGGTGTTCGTAATCCGCCAGTAGTAGTGTTTGGACTGTGTGACTCGGTTTCAACGTAGAACTTCGCACAGAAGTGTAGCTGTTCAGGCTGTCACATTCCGATTCATATAAATTGACAAGACTGTTCTCTTATAATATCAACCCTCAAATTGTTAAAATCAGTCAAAGTCAATTTTACTAGTACATCTATAATGAAATTAAATAGAAATGGGGAAAGTGGGCATCCCTGACGTACACTACTGGTTGTCATCACTTCAGGTGACAACACACCATAAGCTTTTACTTGGCTGAGTGAGTTCCACTAGAGAGCCTTGATTAGTGTGATTCACTCTCTCGGGACTCCTTTTACGGACAAACATTGTCACAGCACCTCTCGGTTGACGGAATAAAAGGCCAAAAAATATATCAAGTGTAGGACCTCGGTAAGTATACGTATGTTCCGGAATCTGTCGAAAGGTGAAGATATTGTCTAAAGCCTGCCTAGTCCTCTGGTGTTTGTTCCTCCCGAGCATCATTTGGAACTAGAAATTTAGATAATATATTAATCAGGCTTATTCCTCAATGATTATCACGAGGAGACTTATCTCCCTTCTTATAAAGTGGGGTAATCAATGTATACAATTGGTGGATGGTGGCTAGCAGTGGAATCCAGGATGCACATTTCGTCCTAATTGGGACTCGTCAACTGGATGTACCTGCATTTCTCAGTGAGTGAGGGGTAATCAATGATTTACATAACGGAACTACCTGTGATTTCCAAACGTTGCCTGATACCTTAGTTAACTCAGATAACAGTTTACCACCACCTTGCATAACCACCTCTAGAGTGATTCCATCAGGTCCTGCTGTTTTACCTCCTTTCAGATTAGAGATAGCCTTTGTAACCTCAGTTACAGAGGGAGGACAGATATCAACATCCCATTCATTTAGGAGTTGGGTTTTGAGCAATTTAGACTAGGCTGTAGGTCAATTAAATTGCTTTTTAAAATGTTCCTTCCAATGTTTCAGTCGTCTATCCTGAGAGCTAATTAAAGTGCCATTTTTCTCGGAAATAGTCTCACTAATCATTTGCCTTTTGCCACCTGTTTCCTGTTACCTATCGCGGATGCCTTTTCAACCTCTTTCTCGTTTGTCGCTCACTTTTATTGGAGTTCGTTGTGGGGGCTTTCGGTGAACTTGTTTTTGATCATCTTTCGCTGTTCATCATGTTCGGAACTGTCTGGAATCAGTTTTCTTGCGCCCGGATGAAGTAACCGAAATCCATTGGCTTTTACTAACCTTTGGTTTTAGATTATTAACGACCTGTATGTACAGTTGGCTGGATATTATGCCAGCCTTCCTCAGTGGGATTCTTGCTGTCAACCTTAGATACTCGCTTAAATACTTGTTCTTTTTAATAGGGACTTAGTGCTGTCAAGCTGGGAGCCTAGCGGATTCATTGTTGCATGTTTTCTGCGTCCGTTCAAGTGTACTCAGATACATGGACGGACTGGGGCGTGATCAGAGTCTATGCAAACTTTCCAAAAGGAGTGACAGGCTTCTATCGACCCTCTCCATGGATAGCTTATCTCTGTGTGGTCTGTTTGAGCTCACCACTGATTTGATGATGGTCACCGGCAGGTTAGGCAATATCTCTGTTTTTGTGTGTGGTTATTGCTGACCAGAAACAGATGATTATCTGAACAGAACTGTAGAATACGATCACTGTTGTCAGTTCATCGGCAAGGGACTCCGTATGTGCCACTAAAATACTTCTCACAACGATGCGACTTCCCTACTTGGGTATTTAATTTGCCTGCTAAAACGGTTATAGCTGAACTTTTTGCTTTTCGCAGCAAACTAGACAGTTTTTGGTGGGACTCATCCTTTGCTTCATCCAAACTGCAATCCTTTGGGGCGTAGGCGGGGACTGAAAAAGTACTGACGTTTATCTTAATCTCTTCTCCTTCTGATGGATCCATCCAGTCGGATAGCAAATTCATGACTATCCAATGGGGTCCAGTCAAGTAAGAATTTTTCCATCCTAGCACTCAGTACTATCATTACATTGAGAAGTCCTCGTGAACTAACCTAGCTTATATATGTAGGTGGTCATTACTTCCCGACTTCCAACATCATGGAAGTTAATTTCTTCTTAGGGTGCCTGAAACAGAAGGAGCATTCATTAGTGTTGCATGACCTCAGAGCCCATAGGACAACTGCTTGAAGTCTTTGGCGTTGCATCCGTACGATCTTACTGGTGACTACGAGCTGTTGCAAGGTAAGTCGGGATGTACAATTATTGGGGTCTAATTTTCTAAATCCTTCTCTCCAGAACGAAGAGACAACTTGGCTGGCATATCAATCATCTGAGGGGAACACGTTACATCCCTATTCCTGTGAGGTACAACTCCGCCCACAAACCTCCAGCATAGTGTCGAGAACTTACACTATGACGGTAATTGCTTGTAGTCTTATCTCTATCCAAACAGTCTTTTTGGCATGGTAGGACCTGTCCGGAGCATTGGTTTCAGCCAGTATAGCTCATTAAGTGATTCCAATATGCAAGCCCGACTACCACATCAAGGTAGCAGTTATCGGTCGAGTGGTTTTAGAAACATTTATGAAATGATGAGCTAGTACTTTCACTGGTACAAATGCTCCAGGTGTATCTCCTATCTGATGAATCAGTCCTTGAGAAGGAGTTTTGATTGAATAACTACCTGTTCTTGACCAGCATTGACAAAATATACGGAAAGGCGTCGCATCTCTAGGTGGACTTTTGGCAAAAAACCAGTCCATTAATAGACATTATTATTATATTTATTGCTCCCTTGGGTTCCTACTGGAACATACGGCTTCAACTGCACGTCTCTACTTGCCACTTCTCTCTTCTGCTGTACTTTTCACCTGCATCCATGTTAGTCCATACTCTTTCAACTCCTCTTCATACGATCTCCTCCATGTCACCCTTGGACATCCCACACGCCGCTTCCCTTTCGGGTTCCACTCGAGCAATGGCCTGACGCGCGCGTGATGTCACCCAGCGGTCTCCTCAGCGAGTCTCCGATCCATCTCCACTTTCTCCTGCATATTTTTTGGTTGGCGATTGGTTGTTGCTTTGTTTGTTCCCATAGTTCCTTGTTGGTGATTCTTTCCGGCCCGGCCATCTGATCTTCAGTATAGATCAAGGGAAGACAGTTGTTAATAAAGGTCTGCAACCTTTTGGAAATATTCTTTGTGACCCGCTCGCCAAGTTTATGATCCGTATAGAAGAAGTGACTGACTTGATATTTGTATTGAAAATCTGTCGAAAACAGACAGACAGACAGACATTGAAAATCATACCGAATTTTGTTGTTGATACTGGGTGACGAAGATTTCCAGATTGCTTTTAGGTTAATGAGTGAATGTGTTTCTCGCTCTATTTGACATCCTCGTCCGTTTCGATGGGCTGTAGTTGAAACATGCTCCCTAGATAAGTGAATGAAGTAACCTCTTTAAAATCCCTCCCGTTGATGGTGATCGACGATGGATGTTGCTGCTGTTGTTGTTGGTTGGTTATTTTCATAACCTCCGTCTTGTCTATGTTCACCTGGAGTACTGTCTTCGCCGGCTGCCTCTTTGACCAGTTTGTTGGTGTTTGCTTGTAAGTCTTCGATTTTGTGTGACATCAAACATAAATCATCCACGCGCGGAATCCAGGTCTTCTAGGTTTTTCACGTCGGTCCAGGATATCCCTGTTTTCTCGTTTCCGACTGTCTGACGCATAATCCACACAGTCCACCACAATTAGGAATATCATTGGTGATAATAAGCACCCTTGTCCGACTCCTGTGTTTACTCCAAACGCCTCGCTGAGTTTTCCGTTGTGGATGACTTGACATGTGCCGTTGTCGTACAGCTGTTGAATAAGGTCGATGAATGTTTGGGGTACGCCATAGTACTCGAGTAATTTCCAAATTACTTCACGATCAACGCTGTCGAAAGCCTTCTCAAAGTCTATAAAGTTGAGGTAGAGGTTTGGTCGCCATTCCATGCTTTGTTCGATGATGATGCTTAGAGTTGCAATTTGGTCACTACATGATTTGCCTTTCCTGAATCCAGCTTGTTCTGGTCGGAGTTCTGTATCCAGTGCGTCCTTTAATCTCTCCAGGATGATGCGACTCAGGATTTTATTTGGCGTCGACAGGAGCATGATTCCTCGCCAGTTCTTTCAGAGTGAGGCATAAGTCTCCCTTCTTTGGTAGTTTCACGAGGTAACCTTTCCTCCAGTCAGTAGGCACCTTTCCCTCCTTCCAGACCTTTTGCAATAATGGAGTCAGCATGTCGGCTGTAGTCTCTGGGTCTGCTTTCAGTGCTTCAGGGGGTATTCCATCTGGTCCAGCTGCTTTTCCAGCTTTCAGAAGCTTGATCGCATTCAAGACTTCAGCTCTCGTTGGAGGATTGGTGTCAACTTGCAGTTGTGTGCATGCTGTTGTTGGTATTTCTGGACGGGTTGCAGGTGGTGGTCGGTTCAAGAGTCCTTTGAAGTGATCCGCCCATTGTTTAATCTGTTTTTCTTCCTTGGTAATTGGGTTCCCTTGGCTGTCTTTTATAGGTTTCGCTTGTGTTGATCTCTTCCCGGATAGAGATTTGGTTATCTGATATAATGTCCTCAGGTCTCTTTTGCCTGCTGCCTTCTCAGCTTCAATGGCGAGATTGTCGTAGAATCGTCTTTTGTCCTTCCTAGCACTCTTCTTCACTTCTTTGTCCAGTGCTTTGCAAGTTGAGCTCATCGTCTCCCTCTCCTGTCCGTCCTTGCATTGAATCATTTTCTCTTTCACCATTCTCCTCTCTTCTATTAATTTCCAAGTGTCCGTTGAGAGCCATTCCTTGTCTTGTCTCTTCTTTCTTCCTAGAACCGTTGAACACGTTTCGTTGAGAATCGCCTTCAGAGACTTCCAATGTTCTTCCACGCGTAGTGTTTCCTGCTTTGCTCTGACAGTTGCAGTGAACGTGTCTTCTGTGGTTGTGTCCTTCAGTTTCTGAGTGTTGAACTTGCATTGTGGCCTATCCCCAGCTATCCTCGAGGCTTTTAGTTTCACCTTGAAAGTCCCTTGTACTAGATAGTGGTCTGAACCCACATCTGCTCCTCTCCTCGACCTTGTGTCCAGTAGGCTCCGTCTCCACTTTCTTGAAATTGAGATGAAGTCTATTTGGTTCTTGGTGTTTCCATCTGGTGAAATCCATGTCGTCTTGTGTATATCCTTGTGTTTGAACACACTGCCACCAATCACCAAATCATTGAAGGCGCAGAAGTCTGAGAAGAGTTCACCATTGTCGTTCATTTCACCGAGGGCCTCTCGACCCATGGTGAGTTCTCTTCCTGTGTTGTCTCCTCCCAGCTTCGCATTCATGTCGCCCATCAGGATTTTGATATCGCCATTTGGGACGTTGTCCATTATTGTTTGTAGTTGTCTGTAGAACGCCTCCTTCTTCTCTTGTTCTGAGACGTTTGTAGGCGCATAGCATTGAATGACTGTAACTTTCCTTCCTTTTGAGTTGAACCTGGCTGTCATTATCCTGGAGGAGATTGGTTCCCACTGCATGAGAGCTTTGGCTGCTGTTGGTGACATCATGATGGCCACTCCCTCGGTGTGCTCATGGTTGTCCTCTGGGTGGCCGGAAAAGATTACTGTCTCTCCAGTAGGTAGTTGGCACCTTCCAGTTCCGTTCCATCTGCTTTCGCAGATTCCCAACACTTCTATTCTGTACCTTCTCATTTCAGCGGCTATCTGGGCAGCCTTTCCAGTTTCGTACATTGTACGAACATTCCAGGTACCCATCCTTACTTTTGCTTTCATCGAAAGAAGGCACATCGGCTGACTGGCTTCCCGAAGGCTTTCACCAGCCTGCGTCATTTCACTTCCCCGATTCCAGCGAAAAATAAGGCTATTGTTTGTGTTTTTAGAATTTTTAATATATTTATTCGTTGAAGTTTCTGTAGCGATTTGGTTGTTTTACAGGGGTGGAGTTGCTAGCACCACGCCCCAACCCTCCCTTTTTATCCGGATTTGGGACCGGCTAGAAAACTAGCAAGCTAGTAATCTGGCGAGGTTAGTAATAGACATAGATGAGTCATTTCAATATGAATGGATTGGTGGAAATTCGCTGTTGCTTTTTGAGTACATGCCTGGTGTACCCGTATGCCTACAACTAATAATTGGATATGGAAAAGAAATCTCTGCAAAGATCTTACGTCTGAAGCCTTCAGGTCTGTATTTAGGGAGAGTTTAAATAAACAGTTATTGGATCTCAGCAGTAATGCCTTTCCCAAAGAAGCCGAATACTATAACCAGTCTTTTGTTGAAGTCGTAGTGAAGACAGCAGCTAATCTGCTAGCTAAAAGATATTAAATGCGACTCTGATTTTATCAAAACCGGTCGGTGTAAGGGCATTCTTAATTATCCTGTTGTGTTATTGCTTCGTTTCATTCTAGATCATACTGCACCATTAAGTGTTCTCAAGGAAAGTGGACCAGCTTTGAAAACTAGCCTTCGACATATCTTTGAATCGGATTCTCGTCCTGATTTGGTTTTTCCCGATTCTGGTTATTTATGGAAAATCAGTCAAGAGATGGCGTCCATAACACCGGGTAGTCAAACAGGAATTTGCGATAATCGTGGTGATGTTCCTTCCGGGTAAGATTTGAATTCTGTGACCGTATTCTGAAGGTTAAAGTAGTCATCTCTGTGTCTCTCTCTCACTTGCCGCAGCAGAATCTTTTCCACTATAAGTCAGTACAGATGCGGCTGCCAAAAGTAGACAGGATACGAAGAGCAAGACCAAGCGTTCATTACTCTGAAGTCACTCAGCACAAGGGACGAAATAAGAATTAGGTATAATGGAGAAGATTTGCAGCTCAGGTGGATGGATAATCTTGGTGTAATTGCGTTCTCTAAGCTGGATGGTTTACTTGCCAAGCTTTCATTACTTCAATAGGTAACATCTTCATTGCATACCTCCGTTTGTGAAGTGAGCTTTTAAATTTCTCCACAAGTTTGTTCGCCATCTCTCCTGGTGCTAAGCTTGAGCGTGATAAGTTGTTTTTGTGTATTCTCTTACCCTCTGTTCTACTTATGTAGTAGTATTGATTGTTCCTGTGACTTGAAGTGTAACTTTTTGGATTAGTAAATTTGAATACCAAGCTTCCAAAAATTCTCTGGTGTTCTTGGTGTTTCTTTTGTCTAATATTTGAACATTGGTTCTCCGAGTCGAATTGATGTCCGTGGTTGTCTGTATGTAGTGAGGGATATGAGGGAGTGGATATCACGTCTTTTGACAACCAGTTTGTCTTGATGGATACGAATACGAAGAGGAGGAGGAGGAGGAGGAGGGGTATCCACTTTGACCAATATAATGTTTTTCACAGTCGTTGTAATTTATTTTGTAGATGATTTTGGTTCAATGTTCTTTCTCTGTTGTGTGTCTTTTGGTTGACATAGAATCAGTGCTTCACTATGGTTTCGAAACTTGTTATGTCACGAGAATCATTTACAACAGCTGGCTGCACACTTCCATCAACAGTTACCTGAGAGCGTTATTAAAGACCAGATGGCCTATCAGGAGGAATTCTGTCAACTAAGCGATCAAGAACCTATTGCCCAACGAATAGAAAAGACGATTTGAGCGTGGGTGGGTGTCTAAGGGGGCAAGAAAAGCAACTGAAGAGAACAGATTGAAATGGGGGATATGCTGATGGAAATCTGAAGGAGGAATAATGCTAATAATTTCGAGTGTTTTATTGAATATGAGATTATCCCGTCGATTGATTGGACCGAAGTGCTCGGTCTCAGGTTGACATGTCGGCTTCTTGTGCAGATGTTTCGATGATGTCTGGGCATTTAGTTAGTATTTAATTGGATGATGTTCCCACCGAGGCTCGAATCTAGTACCCATAGTTTCAAACTAACTGAGAAATGCAGGTACATCCAGTTGACGAGTCCCAAATAGGACGAAATGCGCATCCTGGATTCCACTGCTAGTCACCATTCACCAATTGAATTTTGAGTGTTATTTATTTCGCAAAAAGTACCCAGCCGGATATAGAAATAGGGACAAAACCATTCAGTGAGAAGACTTTTCGGCATATTCATTTACCTAGCGCTGCACAGTCGTAATTTTTTATGTATATGTGTACATCAGTTTGGCCTATTGTGTTGTACATCATCAAAATATTTCAAAACAGGGATGAGTATTCAAAGTTGTAACTATGGCGGGGGGAGGAGGTGGAGATTAATAAGTTTGTAACAAAAGAAGACAAAAGCCAGGCAACAGATTTTTTATTGAGAAAATCAAGAGGTATTTATAAATTTGTATGTACATTATTGTCAGCGGAGTAGCATCGTCTTCTGATTGGTTGTTTTCTCTCTGGGGGTTATTCTGTACTGCTTGTAGCCGGACGTTTCTCAGAAAGTTAAGCCACATACCTGCGAATCGTATTCCCACACGTTAAGTTTGCTGTGATTGGTTGTTGATTTCCTCAAGGTTAGGCTTTGTTATCGTTTTTCTCATGTCCCTAATTTGGGACGTAGACATTGACGTAAATTATTGTTTACAATTTTGGCTTGTTCGCAGCCAGCTCTCACAACAAGTTTAGTTTAAAGGTGGACTAATGCAAAAAGACATTCTAGAGGATTGCACGTCAATAACAAAGTATGGAGACAAATATTAACATAAATTATTATGTAGTAAGGTGAAAAGGGAAGATGCAAAATAAAATGGTATTAATAACAAAGTGTGTTGACAACAGTTTAACTTGAAATTATATCCAAAGTAAAAAGATGCGATGGAGAAGTTTCTTATGTGTGTACATAAATCAGGGTTTCCCAAGGAGAATAACCAAGATCTTAGCAATGCATATCGTTTTTTGTTGGGGGGGGGGGAGGGGGAGCTTTTTGTTGACTATGTAGATACCTTTGAATAAATTTCCCTTATATTATTGAGTGACCAATGTTAAAACTATGTGTGTTTAGTTATAACACTTCTTATTGATCCATTGTTAGTCAAGTAGGATAATGTGTTTTCGACTCTTTCAGATAAAACACGCATTGAACGATCTATTTATCTGGCTCTATAGGAGCAAGTGAATTGGTGGTAGATATATACATAAAAGTGATCAAATGTGTTAGTTTTTCTTTCAAGTTATCTGAGAACATTCTCCGCTTCTACATTAGGATTGGTGTTCGCTTACCGTCTAGTGTTCTCCAATAAACTTAAGACTTTCAACTATTAGTTTGTAGGGATTTGATTGATGAGTTACTGGATTTCATCATGAGCTGACATCAGCTAGTAAACCGGGGAGTATTGTACAGCTGTTTCGTCCTAGTTTAGGATTCTTTATCAGTACTCACCCATCGCCAGGAGTTTGAACCCAGAAGCTTCTGGTCACAAGGCTAGCGAGCTCGTAGACCATTAAGCCACTGGGACCCGATCGAATGGACAGCCCATGAATTCAAACTTCTGCCAATTCATTTTAGACTATTTGTAAATCTAGTGAAGAACAGAAGTTGGATTCTTTAACTGTTTTGCAGTTAGAACTCTCCAACTATCTAGCAGTTAATTGGTGGATGGTGACTAGCAATGGAATCCAGGATGAGCAGTTCAACCTGAGACCAAGCACTTCGGCGCAATCAATCGATGGGAAAATCTAAAATTGAATTAAATAATTAATATGACCCGTTGCACAAGAGGTGCTGGTTCTCGTGGCCCAAGTGGTCGAGTGGATAACGCTTTGTCGTTTGAAACTATGGGCAGTGGGTTCGAGCCTCATTGGGAACATCATCACTCACTGGGGAATGCAGGTACATCCACCTGACGAGTCCCAAATAGGGTGAAATGCGCGTTATCCTGGATTCCACTGCTAGTCACCATCCGCCAATTAACTTCTAATTACATGTCTAGACATCTTCGAAGCATCCGCACGAGAAGCCGACATGTCAACCTGAGACCGAGCACTTCGGTCCAATCAATCGACGGGAAATTCTAAAATTGAATTAAATAATCTCCAAGTATGTAACCAATCAATCAAATCCCCACAAACCAACACTTGAATATGGATTAAATGCCCCCTGGAGACTTGCCCTATACAGTTAGGTAGTTACCTGGGTGCAGCAGGTCGGTTGTGAGGACAAATACTCACTGAGGACATCGGCTAGTGGTCGCGCTATGTCGTGAATTGGCAGAAGTTAGAATTCATGTCCATTGGATCGGGTCCCAGTGGCTTAATGGTCTACAAGCTCGCTAGCCTTGTAACCAGAAGGTCTTGGGTTCAAACTCCGGTGGATGCGTACTGATGAAGAGTCCCAGACTAGGGCGAAACAGCTGTCTAGTACTCCCAGCCAGTTTTCCAATCGTTCTCTAACCAATGTCAGCTCATGATGAGCAGTCCTGTAACCAATACATCAAATCCCTACTAGCCAACACTTAAAAATCTCCAACTATCTTTCGTAGTGTGTCGTGTGCTACTGACAAAACATCAGTAGTACATAAAGAGACGTTTATCTGCACACAAAAGATATATGAAATGACGGAGAGATAGATTTGAGGTCAAAGAGAGAGAAAATGAACATGGGAGACACAAAAAGAAGACACAGAAATACAATACAAAGAGCAGATAATAGTACAACATAACATGGAAGAACTGTGCAAATGACGATTTTTGTATACGGTGTACCTAATTTCACTGTATAGAGATACCAAAGTTAAAATAAACATTCCGTTACCAAGCGTCTTGTCTTCTACCTTTACATTTTGATGTCGCTGCCTCCAGACAGTAAAGATTCTATAGCCGACTGCTTTCGAGGAAGGAGGCATTGGGAGCTTCTTGCGGAACTCCGGTGCTGTCACCGAGTTGGTGGCCTCCGTTGTTGGGAGGTCAAGCAGTCTTCGTAAGACAGTGTGGAGCAGTCAGGTGGTAAAGATACCTAGAAGGTATTGGTTGAACAATTGGTGGCGGAGTTCGACAGCCCGACGGTGTTCATAATTTCCCTGTACAGAGATATCAATTTGCAAATAAACATTCCATTACCAAGTCTTTTATCTTCTACCGTTACTATAACACAAAAATCAATATAAAGTGCAACACACACTTTAACCTAATACGACACAAAGCAAATGTCGTTTTCGGGAAATGTCTAGAGGTTCCACTTATGTTTATTATTATTGTTATCATTCTTATTACCTGTGAATTTCGATGGTGTGTATATTATCGAAGTAACTTACTATTATCTCATTCTATAGTGCAACAAATGGACAAATTGATCGTGCATTACAACTGAAGCTAGAAGGTTTACTACAGAAACCATTCCGCTTGTGTGATTGGCTAGTTGGTGAAGTGACGTTTTCCTCTGGTTTGGTTCATTCGTTGACTAGACATTCGGTAAGCATCTTTCTTATGTGCTTATAACCACCTATAATGTTGTCTAAAATATTAAAACTTTTCTTTGCCGAGTAGAGCCTAAATGTTTCGATTTTTTACCTCTGAGGATACACTTCGGAATAACTGACTGACTGGTTTCAACGTAGAACTTTGCATAGATGTACACCAGTTCGAGTTGCCACACTCACTTCATGTAGCACACAAAGCAAGAGAGAAGACTAAAGAAAGATTCACCAAAAGAGGGATAATAAACAGAAATATGAGTCAAAAATAAAATAGTAATATGGAAGAACAACGGAGTTTTATTGGATATTATAAATCACAAGGAGTGGATGCATCTGTGCCATCCATTGAGAACGATGAGTTTGAGCCATATCACCGATAATTGTCTCCGGTCTTCATTGGTTCTTACCATCCCGATGACTGCAACCAGCCACACAGTCTACACCTCCTTACGTAGCTAACTGGTTTAAACAAACTTGTGAATTTCACAGACTAATGAAGCCATGTTTTGGTTTAGCCGCCACTAGCTCTCTTCCAACCTGATCCCTATGTTAGCTAACATTTCTGTTGTCGAGAAAGGCGATGTCTGGCTAAGCATGCGTGACACATATCCTAACCATCTCAATCGGTATAACTTCATAGCCTCGTCGGTTGATTTCCCCTCCTTACCTAGCACTTGACGCCCACCCTCAATTTTCCTCACCTTATTAAAACACTTCACATGGGAGATAGAACTCAGGCACCTATGATCAAAGACAGGTAGCTAGTCAGGCTTTCCATGTCTTCCACTTTCAATGGTCATATCTCTCTCACAGCCAGCCATAAGGGAGGATGGAATGGACTGCTGGGCAGTACAGACGCCGTTTGGTCGACAGCCCGCCGGATATCACGTCTACTAATCCAGAGATGGCGTAAACTAGCATATGCGAAACCAGCCCTCTGTATCCGTGTTGAGACTTCATCAGCGATCAACTCATTGGATTTGATGCAAATTTCCAGGTAATTGAAGTGGTCATATCAAAGGTGAAAGGGTGAACGCGAACTTCTAGTGAACATACTGATCCACCACCTAGTAGAGCTGGAAAACGCTTATTCCAGACCTATAGTCTACATCGTCCCCCAGAATATGAGGTGAAATGGAGCATAAACCGGTTTTAGTCACTGGAAACCATGGGGAAGTACCTCCTGTTGATGGTCCATTGCCTTGTGAATCAGACCTTAAGTCAACGGCTCGAGAAGTATATCACCTCTTAAGACAAACACCTGACTCAGTCTGGGCGTCTGCATAGTATCCCAGCCCTGGCAAAAAATGTGATTTTTTTCTGTGGCGCATATTTTGGTGACCATAATGTAGGAAGTTTGTCTTAATAATATACGCTATAGGCATCATGGTAGCAGTGCTGGCATTCATCTCGTCGATACTGGACATCAAGTTGACTCTATGAAAGCTTTTAAAGTTACTTATCGTATTTCACCCAACCTCTCGCATGATCTACCGGTACAACTTTTACATAAAGCAGAGGCAATCGGAATTCATCTAAACAAGCCAAATCTTTGTATGTTTAGAAGAAATTTGTACAGCCTCTTTCTTGACCAACCTTGGCTCATGATGAAATCCTGAAAGCAATCAAATCCCTACAAACCATCACTTGAATACCAATGAGATGCTCACTGGCGACTGGCCCTATTCAGGTAGGTAGTTACCTGGGTTCCAGTGGGAAGTCGTGACCAGTAGGGTGCAGCCGGTTGGGTTTGAGGACAAATACTCGCCGAAGACATTGGCTAGCGGTTGCGCTATGTCGTGAATTGGCAGAGGTTAGAATTCAAGGACCATTGGGTCGGGTCCCAGTGGCTTAATGGTATACGAGCTCGCCTTGTAACCGGAAGGTCCTGGGTTCGAATCCCGGTGGGTGCGTACTGATGAAGAGTCCCAAACTAGGACGAAACAGCTGTCCAGTACTCCCAGGTTTTCCAATGGTTCTCTAACTAATGTCAGCTCATGATGAAATCCTGAAAGCAATCAAACCCCTACAAACCATCACTTAAATAGTATGTATTAAGTTTTCCAAACGATTCCCGCCCCCTCTGTAACTATATCTTTTAACACTTTTATTTTACTATGATTATTATTCTAGACAACTCAACTAACATGTATGCATCTTACGTAATTCTACTGAGTCATCCTATTCTTTTTAGTCATCATTGCTATTTTACAAATTTCTTGATTACGCAATAACTTGTTGCTAACGCCAAATAATTAACTTATCTTAAATTCCGTACTTAATTGATTTCCACCTCTCCTTCAAAACTTAGTTATCTTGCTTGTTAATAACATCTATTTTTTAATTCCTTCACGTTCCCCAGTGGGACATAGGGCTTCAAGCTAGAAGCTTGAAATTTCTGTAGCAGTGTTTATTTTTACAGGATGGGGTTGCTAGCCAGCCTCATGCCCAACCTTTCCTCTTTACCAGCTTTATTTCTGGTTTCGCGAAGTGAAGGAGTGCGTCAACCAGAGATCGAACCCCAGACTATATGCATGATCGGCGAGCGTCCTAACCGCTATGCCACCGACGCACAATAACACTTATTAGTTAATTGAAGTTTTGATAACTTTTAACCTCTTAATTTCACCCCGCCCACCTATTATATTATTATTATTATTATATCCTTTAATTCCTAGAGGAACATAGGGCTTCAGCCGCGCGTCTCCATTGCGTTCGGTTTTCTGCCAACGTTTTCACTCCACTCCAAGTCTGCCCACATGCTTTCATCTCCTCTTCACATGACCTCCTCCAAGTCACCCTTGCACTGACGACCAACTCGCCGCTTCCCTTTCGGGTTCCACTCGAGCGATGGCTTGTCTAGTGATGTCACTTGATGGTTTGTTTTCTCAGAGTATCGCCAGCCAATCCATCTCCATTTCTTCTTGCCTATTTGTTTCACAATCGGTTCCTGCTGAGTTGGTTTGCTCATCGCCAGAGATCTCTGTTGCTGATCTTTTCTGGCAGGCCATCTGATCTTGAGGATTGAGCGAAGACAACTGTTGATGAATGTCTGAAGTTTGTTTGAGATGCTCTTTATGACGCGCCAAGTCACTGATCTCACATTGGAGTTGAAAATCCGGATCTTATTTCCGACGCTGAGTGCTGTTGACCTCCACACAGACTTAAGAGTAATGAAAGCCAGCCCGTCTATACCCCTACCTAAAACTGATTAACTAAAATAACCACTTGATATTAGTGTAGAGCCAGCCAGACGATGATGAGGAACTGCTAGTTGAAAAGGAATGTATATTTCTTCGCTTAATTTGTTGTTTTTATTATAATATTTTGCTATCAAATAGTTACATGTGCGTCGATGCTTCAGTGGTCGGATGCACACCAGTCACACCTAACGTGGTCCGGGTTCGAATCCCAACCGGCACACATCTCTGCTTCCCTCCCCACCCCGGCGGACGATTATAAGCCGGATAAGAAAAGAAGGTTGGGTGTGAGGCTAGCAACTCCATCCAGTGAAGAAAAAACAACACCAGGTGCTACTGAAATTTCGGAGCTCAAGCCAGAAACCCCCCATTTTCTATTAGGAACTCAGAGGAATAGGGAAGCCAAAAATACTTACGTAATAGTAATCCCAAAATCTGCACTAAAAAATAGTAGTAACAAGAGCACGAATACAGAAGGCTCATTTCGCATATGCTAGTTTACACCATCTCTGGATTAGTAGACGTGATATCCAGCTGGCTGTCGACCAAGCGGCGTGTGTACTACCCAGCAGTCCATTCCATCCTCCTTTATGGCTGGCTCTGAGCGAGATACGACCGAAAGCTGCTACCTTGACGTGGTGGTCGGGCTTGAACACCGCAATGACCTATTCAAGCTATACTGGCTGAGACTTATGTCTCTTGAGGTTCTACCATGCCAGGCAGGTTGTTTGGATAGCGGTTAAACAAAAAGCAGCTACCCAATCCAACATCATGTCCAATACAAAATCACAAAATTTCATGCCGGATCGGCCGTGGCCCGGATTAACAACGACCGCGCTTCCTGCTGCCGTGTCACAGGGCAGGAGTGATAAATCTGCTACTGAGACACACCAAACAAAAAAGAACGAACAAAAACAGGCCGCGTGTGACCGGCCTCAAGCAGTTGTCCCCTGGGCTCTGCGGTCACGCAACCAACTTCCACGGTGTGGGCAGCCGGGAAGTAACAATCGCCCTCACAATCCGAAATGCACACGAAACCTCTCTATTACTCACTCATCTTTGTCTTCATCTTCATCTCTATCATCTTGCCTTCCTTCCACTGATGCAACTCCTCGACTTGATAGCTCTCCACTTCCTCTCCACTCTGCGTCCACTAAAAACGATGGAAGCCAAAAAACCACCACCGACAGCCTCTTAAAGCCGCGCCACCAATTTCATATAGGAGCTCTTAATGTTAGGACACTTTGCCAAATAGGACAACAAGCATCACTAGCCAAGACCCTGGCATCACGAGCCATTGATGTATGCTGTGTTTCAGAAACACGCATACAAGACCCAAGTGTGGTTATTCACCTAACCCCACCTGGCCAACAGGTTGAATCTGCAAAATTCACCTTGAGGGTGTCAGGAGATGCCACAGCTAGTTCACGAGGATTAGCTGGCGTAGGGATAGCTTTGAGTACTAGGGCAGAAAAGACATTGCTTGACTGGATCCCGGTAGATAGCCGAATGTGTGCTGTCCGCCTGAACGGATCAGTAAGAAGGAGGAAGGACTGCACTACTCGCCGATGCCTTTTCGTAATCTCCGCCTACGCCCCCACTGACTGCAGTTCAGATGAAACGAAGGATGAGTTCTACCAAAAGCTGTCTAGTTTGGTGGAAAGGCTAAACGCTCAGACATAGTCGTTCTAGCTGGTGACTTTAACGCTCAAGTAGGGAAATTGTGTCAATCTGAGAAGGATGTCGGTGGCACCTATGGAGCTCCGTGCCAGCGAACCGACAACGGTGACCGTCTCCTACAGTTCTGCTCTGATAATCATTTGTTTCTTGTAAGCACTAACTTTAAACACAAGGAGAGACACTGTTTGACTTGGAGACCCCCTTCATCAAACCAACGCTGGACACAAATAGACCACATAGCAATAAGCTATCGTTGGCGTGGGTCGGTAGGAGATTGTCGCTCCTTCTGGAACACGTGCGTAGATACCGACCATGCACTGGTCCGCGCTCGGGTGTGCTTACGACTGAACGGACGTAGGAAACAGCTGGCGGTAAAACCATCACGTCCCCAGCTCGATCAGGAAACTAAATCCGTATTTGAGGAAGAACTAGCTAAACACATATCTGTGTTCGACAGCTGTGCTCACCCTGAAGAAGCTTGGAAAAATATCCAGGCAGCCATAGATACAGCTGTAAAAGCTGTGAATAAGGTAAACCCAAAGGTGAGTAAAAACCACTGGATCTCCACCGCCTCATCCGAACTGATAGATGCTAGAAGACTTATTCCGGCGAGCTCCGAATTCAATGAGGAGCGAAAGCTGCACAAGAGGAAACTTACGAAAAGTCTCCGCAAGGACCGTGAACAGTGGTGGGCGACAAAAGCCAAAGAGATGGAGAAAGCTTCGAGGATAGGCAACACCAGGCAACTCTTTGGACTCATCAGGGAAACGGGTGGGAGAAGACAAATCATTAGTGAGACAATCTCGGAAAAAAATGGCACTATAATTAGCTCCAGGATAGACGACTGGATCGTTGGAAAGAGCATTATGAGGAGCAGTTTAATTTGCCCACAGCCACGCTCAACCTTCCGAGCATCCAACACCTCCCTGAATGGGATATAGACACAGGTCCTCCGTCACTAACTGAGGTTACTAAAGCTGTCACCAATCTGAAACTAGGCAAAGCAGCGGGACCTGATGGAATGACTCCAGAGGTATTTAAGTACGGTGGAGACAGCTTACTGTCCGGATTAACTGAGGTACTAGGCAGCGTCTGGGAATCAGAAGAAGTCCCATCGGGTTGGTGTAAGTCACTGATTATCCCCATATACAAGAAGGGAGACAAGTCTTCCTGTGATAATCACAGAGGGATTAGCTTGACTAATATAGTATCTAAAGTCTTAGGCTCAATAATCATGCGTAGACTGAGTGGTGCTCGGGAAGCACAAACACGAGAGAGCCAGGCAGGCTTTAGACCAGGAAGAGGGTGTATTGATCATATCTTCACCCTCCGACAGATTCTAGAACATAGGCATTCCTACCGGCGTCCAACAGTCATTATATTTCTTGACCTAAAGGCAGCATTCGACTCTGTCGATCGGGAAGTTCTCTGGAGATGCTTGGCTGTAAAGGGAATTCCGAGAAAATATATTGCACTGATTAAGGCACTCTACTCGTACTCATACAGCCAGGTGAGGGCTTACGGCGAGCTGTCATCTGAACTGATGACGACCAGTGGTGTCCGTCAAGGATGCCCATTATCTCCTTTTCTATTCAACTTCATCATAGATGTGTTAATGGACTTAACCCTAGGTGACTTCAGCGACTCAGGGATTGACTTGCTACCGGGGAATAATCTCGTTGACTTGGAATATGCAGACGATATAGTCCTTCTAGGCGAAGACGCTGACGAAATGCAGAGTCTTCTAAACACCTTGAGCCGCAATCTACGAATGTTTGGCATGCGATTCGCTCCCGCCAAATGCAAGATGATGTTACAGGACTGGACTACATCGACGCCTAGTTTAAAAATAGGAAGTGAAGTGGTAGAGCACGTTGACCGCTTCACTTATTTGGGAAGTACCATCAGCCCCAACGGGCTGATCTCTGACGAAATCTCAGCACGAATACAAGGGGCTCGTTTCGCATTTGTTAGTTTACGCCGACTCTGGCGTAGACGAGATGTTCGACTATCGACCAAAGGGCGGGTGTACTGCTCATCAGTCCGCTCCGTCCTCCTTTATGGTTGTGAGACCTGGCCACTGAGAGTGGAAGACATGAAAAGACTAGCTGTCTTTGATCATAGGTGCCTGCGTTCTATTTCCCGTGTAAAGTGGCATAATAAGGTGAGCAACATGGAGGTTAGGCGTAGAGTTCTAGGTAAACAGGGGAAATCAATCGACGAAGTCGTGAAGCTACAAAGACTGAGATGGTTAGGACATGTGTTACGTATGCCAAGCCATCGCCTCCCTCGACGAGCAATGTTAGCGGATATAGGGTCAGGCTGGAAAAAAGCTAGCGGCGGTCAAACAAAAACTTGGCATCAGTCAATGAAATCCACAACAGTTGGTCTAAGCCACGTAGGAAGGTGTAGACTTCCAGGCTGGGGTCCTCGGGACGGTAAAAATCTATGGTTGGAAACAATTGGTGACATGGCTCAAAATCGTTCTCAGTGGCGCAGATGCATCCACTCCCTGTGACTTATGATCTTCAATGAAACTGTTTTGTATTTCTTTATTACTCCTTTGTCTCACACCTCTGCTCACTGTTTCTATTATGCTTTTCTTGTACTTTCTTCTCTTGCTTCGCGTGCTACACGGAATGTGGCGACTTGAACTTCCGCACATTTGTGCAAAGTTCTATGTCGAAAACAGACAGAACAGACAGATTGAAAGTGGAAGACATGGAAAGCCGGACTAGCTACCTGTCTTTGATCATAGGTGCCTGAGTCCTATCTCCCATGTGAAGTGTTTTAATAAGGTGAGGAAAATTGAGGGTGGGCGTCAAGTGCTAGGTAAGGAGGGGAAATCAACCGACAAGGCTATGAAGTTACACCGATTGAGATGGTTAGGATATGTGTCACGCATGCTTAGCCAGACATCGCCTTTCTCGACAACAGGAAATGTTAGCTAACATAGGGATCAGGTTGGAAGAGAGCTAGTGGCGGCTAAACCAAAACATGGCTTCATTAGTCTGTGAAATTCACAAGTTTGTTTAAACCAGTTAGCTACGTAAGGAGGTGTAGACTGTGTGGCTGGTTGCAGTCATCGGGATGGTAAGAACCAATGAAGACTGGAGACAATTATCGGTGATATGGCTCAAAACTCATCGTTCTCAATGGATGGCACAGATGCATCCACTCCTTGTGATTTATAATATCCAATAAAACTCCGTTGTTCTTCCATATTACTATTTTATTTTTGACTCATATTTCTGTTTACTATCCCTCTTTTGGTGAATCTTTCTTTGGTCTTTTCTTTTGCTTTTGTGCTACATGAAGTGAGTGTGGCAACTTGAACTGGTGCACATCTGTGCAAAGTTCTACGTTGAAACCAGTCAGTCATTTTCACTTTCAATGAGAAACATCACTACGTGAAGCCAGTGAATAGAAGATACTGGCTGGCAGAAGCTATGAAGACACATCGAAGTGAAAGCATTTTGAGAGGAGGTTCGGCGTTTACCGACACACAACTGTACGAGGTCATTTAGGGGGGTCACAAGTTTATTTTTAGATAAAGTTTACACATTCTAAGAATGCTGAGAAATGCGAAAATGACTATTAAATTTCGGTTAAATTTTAATTTATCCTCGGTGAATAAAAGCTTTCCTTGCACTCATAAGCTGGCAGTTGTTTATTTATGGTATTCTTGTGACTCAGTGGCCTATACAGTTATCAAGATTTTGTTTTGTATGGATTCGATTTGTTTCAAGTTTGATTACAGATTGGTGAGAGAACCATTGAAAATCAGCAGGGAGTGCTGAACAGCCAGCTGTTTCGTCCTGGTGCTTGGAACTCATATGCAATACGCACCCACTGAGTTTCCCACCCAGGACCTCTGTAATTAATCTGATGTTTGTTAAGTGACTGGCTACATGATGAAGTTGATTGAGGTTCCTAGTGAGAAGTCATCACCAATGGGGTCCAGGCGGTCGGAAGTGAGACCAAATAGTCGCCGATGATATAGCTGGTGCCAATTGGACTAAAATCATTAATTGGTAAAAGTTAGAATTCATGGGCTGCTGACCGGTGGTTGAATGGTCTACAAGCTTGCCTTGCAACTATAAGATCCTGGGTTCGAGACCAGTGGGTAAGTACTACTGATGAGTCGGAATCTATCAGGACGAAACAACTGGCTGTCCAGTACTCCTACTTGATTTTCATTGATTCTCTAACTGATATCACTCCGTGATCTAACTTGGAGTATAAAATATCGAAGAGACGTTACCTTAATTCGTATTAACTTCGAATGCATCATTGTATTCCTTTACTTAATAAAACATTTTCTTCCAGGTACATATTTCTGATCGATTCTTCTTAGGAGGACCATTAGAATTGCGTGGATTTCAATGGCGTACTGTAAGTCCATCAGAACCATTGCTTCTTCCAACTATTCAAACATTAGGAAGTCCTGGCACGCCTATAGGTGATAATCCACAGATGACTATACCATCTGTATCCTCGAATAGTTCTCCATCATCACCTATTGGAGCTGATGCCTTTTGGTTGACAGGTGCTCATTTATATACTCCATTACCGTATTGGGGTGCTGAAGAAGGTTCATTGGCTGGTCAATTTCGTCTACATAGTTTCTTTTTAATAGGTAAGAGTAATTTCCAGTGAAAGTGTTGTTTGAGTGGGGTTTTTCTGCTTTCTTCTGAAGTACACTTGAATAGTTCTTCTTGTGGATTTTATGTTCTGTAAATCATCAGTATCTATAAGAATGGTATGTGCTTTGCGCTGTGTAATTGCAAAGTATTGTTTTGCAACACCGCGTGTACCTACATTCACTCTCACAGGCGAACTGCTCAACATAGTCGATGAGGTAGTTAGTTGTGTGAGAGTACTGGTGAAGGTGTGATGAACGGAATCTCTAACCAATGTAGTGAAAACCAGGGTGGCATACACACCAATTTAGGCCACCTCCAGTGTCCTTACAGTGTCAGTCTTACTGTCAAAGCTCGGATTTACATTACTTCCGTGCGACTAATCTTGATCTACACCTATAAGACTTGGTCTGTCTCAGCTTGGGGATATGCAGTGACTCTGTGTATTTGATCATCACTGCCTCTGATGATGACATCATCGTGTAAATAAATTCTGAGGCCGGGCAGTGTGTGTTTGGACACGGTGAAGATCATCTTGAAATATCAGCTTCGGTGGCCTGGGTATGCTTTACGAATGTCATCTCGGGGGCTGTCATACCAGTCACTGTTCGCTAGCCCCGAAACTGGATGGGGAAAGTGAAAAGGTGGTTAGCCTATGACGTAGCACCGTGAGATGAAGGATATGTGTATTGGGTTAGCATCTGCTGGTGCATCACGATTTCCTGCTTGGGGTCTGACAGATAATTCTAATCGCTGGTTTGAGACGTTATCAGATATGACTGAGAATCACAGTCAGTAGCGAACATGCTGCAGTTACTTTCTTTCTTCCTTTTCTGAAAGTAACACGAATTAATATATGTTGAATGATCTTCACAAATATGCTTAATTGCATATATAAATAGTAATTTAATTTACTGTACAAGGCAATTTGTAATATATAAATTAGATAGGTAGTTTCAATTTATTAGTGGGAGCTTGTATTTATGATACAGGTTTCCGTAAGCTACCATCGCTAGGTGGCCACATTATCCATCAGCACCAATACGATCAATAGGCAAACAAGTGTCAGTTCATTAAAGTCTGATCGATCGAATGATTGATCATTAATACCCACAGTAAATATGTAACGACGGAAGACAAGGACCAGGCAACAGATCGTTTATTGAGAAAATCAAGAGATATTTATAGATTTTTATGTATACTATTTGTGTATCGATGGCACAGTGGTAGAGTGCTCTCCAACTACACCACTCGTAGTCCGGCGTTCGATCCGATGAACTCCTTTACTTCTCTAAGCCAAGAATAAGACTGGTGTAGGGGGAAAGTTGGGCATGAGGCTGGCTAGCAAACCCATACTGTAAAAATAATCACCACTGCTACAGAAACTTCACGCCTCTAGCTTGAAGCCCTATGTTCCACTGGGAACGTAAAGGAATAAGAAAAGGACATTATTACTAGCGTTATTGTTAGCAGAGGAGCAACGTCTTCTGATTGGTTGTTTTCTCTCTGAAGGTTATTCTGTACTGCTTGTGACCGACTGTTTCTCAGAAAGTTAAGCCATATATCTGCGAATCGTATTTGCATACGTTAATTATGCTGTGATTTGTTGGTGAGTTCCTCAAAGTTAAGCTCTGTCATTGTTTTTCTCATGACCCGGATTTGGGACGTAAATATTAACGTAAACTGTTGTCTACAATTTTGGCTTACAGACAACTGTCACCATAAATACAAGCGATTCCAACAGTAAATGTTTATGTGGGGTATGCAAATGCGGAACACCTGGTTTGCAGTGAGATTTGAGCCAAAACTCTCTACAGTACACTGAATCATGCAGATTAAAATCCTGAAGTTGTTCTCCAATGGGATTCCTCATGTCACAGTGAACCGGATGCTCACCGGTGATATTTTGGTTGTTAGTTAGTTAGTTAGTAGCGCTATATATATGTATATATTCACGAGTTTCATTGAATTTTTGCCCAAGTGGCTGAATGCTCAAGCGGCTGACCTGGTGACCTGAACGTCCTGGGTCTCTGATTTTTGGTCGTGGGATCTCGTGGATATGCACTGATGGGGAGTCCCAGGCATGGGGACGAAACAACTGTTCAGTGTTCTCTAGTTTTCAGTGATTCTCTTGGTTTGTGATAAAGTGTACCTTTGAATTCAATTTCTTTGTCAGACATCCTTTTCGCTTCATTTTCACTTGTCATTCTATTGTAATTAAGTGTAAGAGTTCGTAAAAGCCACAATACCCTGTCGTCCATTAGGATTTAGCTATCTCTCTCTCTTTCCCCGCCTCCCCACCAATGTTGTATTTACTGAAGTAACTCTAGCAGTTAGTTAACCGATAGAGGTTCAACATTCGATTGCTAGAAATTTGTAGAATAAATACAATTAGAAATTCTACAATCTAATCTTAACTTGTGAGTTTGGTGTGTGTAAGTCTGGTTCAGACAGACTTTTATTAGACATTTTTCAACAACCGCCTTCTCTGACTTCATACTGAAGATCATGCAGTCGAATAGAAAGGATTAGCAACGAGGAAGTCTGAGAACTTGTTGCCAAACCAATAAATACGCTGAAGAAAATGGTTGTGGCGGTGATGGCAGTGGATCGGACGCACACTGAGGAGACCTTTGAGTGACATTCAACAACAGACAGCCTCTCTAGAATGGAGCCTGAATGGGAAACGATGGATGTCAATTCAAGGGTGATATGAAAGAGATCATGTGAGAAAGAGATGAGTGCTTATGGGAAATCGTAGAGCCAACTATAGGGGACGTTTCGCATTTGCCAGTTTACGCCGACTCTGGCGTAGACGAGGAAGTGAAGTGGTAGAGCACGTTGACCGCTTCACTTATTTGGGAAGTACCATCAACCAACGCCAGTGGGTTGATCTCTGACGAAATCTCAGCACGAATACAGGGGGCTCGTTTCTCATTTGCCAGTTTACGCCGTCTCTGACGTAGACGTGATATTCGACTATCGACCAAAGGGCGGGTGTACTGCTCATCAGTCTGCTCCGTCCTCCTTTATGGCCAGCTGTGAGACCTGGCCACTGAGAGTGGAAGACATGAAAAGACTAGCTGTCTTTGATCATAGGTGCCTGCGCTCTATTTCCGTGTGAAGTGGCATAATAAGGTGAACAATACTGAGGTTAGGCGTCGAGTTCTAGGTAAACAGGGGAAATCAATCGACGAAGTCGTGAAGCTACAAAGACTGAAATGGTTAGGACATGTGTTACGTCTGTCTGTCTGTCTGGATTCAACATAGAACTTGGCACCGAAGTGCAGCAGTTCGAGTTGCCACGTTCCAAATAGCACACAGAGGTAGACAAGAAGATGAGTGGAGAGAATCAATAGAGTTTGACAAGTATAAGAGTGAAACAGAATGGGTAATGGTAGAAAGGAATATGAAAGATTACAGAGACTGAATACATCTGCGCCATTGACAACGATTTTGAGCCATGTCACCTATTGTCTCCAGCCATTGATTCCTAGAGTCCCGAGGGCCCCAACCCGGGAGTCTGCATCTCCCTACCTGACTCAGTTTAACTGTCAAGGATTTCATGGATTGATGCCATGTTTTTGTTTGGCCACCACTGGCTCTTTTCCAACCTGAACCTATATCAGCTAGCAATGCCCGTCGGGGGAGGCGGTGGTTAGGCATGCGCACCACGTGACCTAGCCATCTTAGTCTATGTAACTTTATAGCCTCGTCGATTGATTTTCCCTCTTTGCCCAACACTCTACGCCTAACGTCAACATTACTTATCTTGTGAAACCACCTAACGTGAGACAGAGATCGCAGACATCTATGATCGAAAGCAGTCAACCTTTTCATGTCTTCAACGCGTATTGGCCATGTTTCAGAGCCATAGAGAAGGACGGAGCGAACTGATGAGCAGTACACACGTCCCTTGGTTGATAACCGGATGTCACGCCTACGCCAGAGATGGTGTAAGTCAGCGAAAGCAGCTCGAGCTTTTCGGATCCGTGCTGAGATTTCATCGCCAATCAGTCCGTTGGTGCTAATACAACTTCCCAAGTAGGTGAAGTGGTCAACATGTTCTATCACTTCACTCCCTATCACTAAGTTAGGGGTTGACGTCGTCCAGTCCTGTAGCAGCATCTTACATTTTGCAGGGGCGAATCGCATGCCAAACATACGAAGATTGCTGCTCAAGGTGTTCAGAAGACTCTGCATTTTTTCAGCATCCTCCCCTAACAGGACTATGTCATCTGCATATTCTAAGTCCATTAGATTATTCCCTGGTAACAAGTCGATTCCTAAGTCACTACGTTCAGTTAAGGATACTTCCATTAGCATATCTATGATGAAGTTAAACAGAAATGGGGAAAGTGGACATCCCTGTCGGACACCACTGGTTGTTACCAATTCAGATGACAATTCCCCATAAGCCCTTACACGACTACGTGAGTTTGAATAGAGTGCCTTGATTAGTGCAATGTACTTTCTTGGCACTCCCTTCACAGTCAGACATTGCCATAGTACCTTTCGGTCCACGGAGTCGAAGGCCGCCTTCAAGTCAAGAAATATGACAATTGTTGGACGCCGAAAAGTGTGTCTATGTTCTAGAATCTGTCGAAGAGTGAAGATATGATCTATGCACCCTCTACCTGGTCTAAAGCCTGCTTGATTTTCCCTTGTCTGTTCCTCCCGAGTTCTGCTTAGTCTATGCATGATTACTGAGCCTAGGATTTTAGAGACTATGTTCGTTACGTATGCCAAGTCATCGCCTCCCTCGACGAGCAATGTTAGCGGATATAGGGTCAGGCTGGAAAAAGCTAGCGGTGGTCAAACAAAAACTTGGCACCAGTCAATGAAATCCACAACAGTTGGTCCAAGCCACGTAGGAAGGTGTAGACTTCCAGACTGGGGTTCTCGGGACGGTAAAAATCTATGGTTGGAAACAATTGGTGACATGGCTCAAAATCGTTCTCAGTGGCTAGCGCAGATGCATCCACTCCTTGTGACTTATGATCTTGAATGACACTGTTTTGTATTTCTTTACTACTCCTTTGTCTTACACCTCTTCTCACTGTTTCTATTATGCTTTTCTTGTACTTTCTTCTCTTGCTTCGCGTGCTACACGGAGTGTGGCGACTTGAACTTCCGCACATTTGTGCAAAGTTCTATGTCGAAAACAGACAGACAGATAGACTGTAGAAAACAGGTCTGTCTGACTGACTTTTTTCAGCATAGAACTTTACACCAATGTGCAGCAGTTCGAGTTGCCACACCCCATTTAGCACACAAAGCAAGAGAATAAAGTAGCAGAAATGCAAAATAGAGACAGTAGACAGGGATATGAGACAAAAAGAATAGTAATAGCGAAGAGTAATATAGTTTCATTGTCAATTATATGTCACAAGGAGTAGATGCATCTGTGCGATCCATCGAGAAGAATTTGGAGCCATATCACCGATAATTCTCTCCAGTCTTCATTCATTCTTACTAGTATTTACTGAATGACAAAGTCTCGAACACAATTTATTGTTCTTAATCATCTGGTCAATTATAACTACACAACTTTGAAACTTTCGTTTTATAGTCCTCTTTATTCCTTCACAGTTGATGTAGGGGTAGTGACTGACTGGTTTCACCGTAGAACTCTGCTGAGATGTGCAGCAGTTCAAATTGGCACACTCCCTCCGTGTAGCACACAAAGCAAGAGAAGAGAGTAAAAAGAGATTCAAAATGGGGAGAGAGAGATAATAAACAGAAGTGTGAGTGAGGGAAAAAGAATAGTAATATGGGAGAACAGTAGAATTTTATTGGATATTATAAGTCACGAAGAGTGAATGCATCTTTGCCCATCCACTGAGAATGATTTTGAGCCATATCACCGATAATTGTCTCCAGCCGTCATTGGTTATTAGCATTTCGGGGACCCTAACCAAGCTAGTCAGGGAGTCTCCACCACCTTCATGGTTGGATGACTTAAACGAACTGTTTTAGATTCCACTGACTGATGAAGTCATGTTTTGGTTTGACCACCAATCACTAACCCCTTCCCAATAACCTATTCTATCCTGTATCAGCTAACATTACCCATTGTCGAGGAATGTGATGGTTGACTAGGCATGCGTAACACATGTCGTCCTAACCAAATCAAATGATGTAATTTCACAACGTCGTCGATTGACTTTCCCTCCTTGACTTACCTAACACTCGTCGGCTAACCAACTCACTATTACTCTTACCCTATTATACCGCCAACAAACACTGATGATAGAACTCAGACACTTGTATGTGATCAAATATAGCTAGCTAGCTAGCCAAACTTTCAATATCTTCCACTTTGCATGGAATAGATTTCCGAACTGAATAGGATTCAGGATTTCATCATGAGCGGGCATCAGTTAAAGAACCATTGGGAAACCGGTTGGGAGTACTGGACAGCCACATGTTCCGTCCCAGTTTGGGACTCTTCATCAGTACACACACACACACGCACACACACCGGGATTCGAGCCCAGAACCTTCTGGTTACAAGACGAGCTCTTATATCATTAAGCCGCTGGGACCCAATTAAATGGCTCATGAATTCTAATCCCTGCCAATACACGACATAGCGTGACCCCTAACCAATGTCTTCGGCGAGTATTTGTCCTCGCACCCGACCTGCTGCACCCTACTGGTCACGACTTGTCACTAGAACCCCAGGTAACTACCTACCTGAATAGGGCAAGTCCTGGGTCGGAATCCCAGTGAATGCGTACTGACGAAGAGTCCCAAACTAGGACGAAACGGTTGTCCAGTACCACCAGGTTTTCCAACGGTTCCCTCACTGATGTCAGCTCATGATGAAATCCTATAGCCAATCAAATTTCTACAAACCAACACGAATAGGATTCACCGCCTTTTTAACTATGATGCATAAAGTTCTCATTTTTTTTTAAATAAGAAGATATCGTGAATCTTTTCTTTTCGCCATAATCTCTATCATTTTCCCCCCTCTTGTTTTTGTTTTATTTTTTTCTCTCTCCCCCCCTTGTGCCCATGAAACACAATACAGGTTCCACACTAGAAAGACCAATTCAAAAGTTAGTCGACTCATATTCATCTAATGCAACAACAACAACAACAATGTCAAATGAATTTCGTCAGTGTTTGTATACAGAGTTGAAGGGTAAACCACGTAGTGTTGTTGGCGTTGGTGTTGTCTTCCGCTTTGCTGGTATTCTACGCATGGAGCTAAATTATTGTCTACCATTGAAAAGTCAACCTGGAGATCAAATGAAACCAGGATTCGCTTTCGGTTTTGGCATGTATTACATGTGAAAGAATGTGTGTGTGTATGTTTGCGTGGGCGTGTGTTTCCCTTGGCGGTGGGAGGGGGTTACTTTCTTTGTAATTTTAGTTCAATTAGTGCTCATTCTGCCTCTGATCTATACAGACGACCTTTTATATACATATACAAACATACATAGATAGAATAATACCATAGAATAAATAACAGCAGTGTTGTTTCAAGGCAGAGAAGAAGAAGAAGAACGTCTTTTACTGAATATTCTGTAATTAGATTTTTGTTTTCAGAAATGGTTTGTTCTATTATCCTTCGCCTTTACTAGGAATACATATATATATATATATATATATATATATATATATATATATATATATATATGTATAACTTCGGCACTATGGTAGTAAGTAATTCCATATTAGTTTGTTTATTAGATGTATCACACAATGACATACGTGCTCAGGATAATGATAACACCGACAATAAGAAATCTAAATCATCAGTAGTAATTCCATACATTATATTTATTATTATTATTATATCCTTTAATTCCTAGAGGAACATAGGGCTTCAGCCGCGCGTCTCCATTGCGTTCGGTTTTCTGCCAACGTTTTCACTCCCCTCCAAGTCTGCCCACATGCTTTCATCTCCTCTTCACATGACCTCCTCCAAGTCACCCTCACATTGACGACCAACTCGCCGCTTCCCTTTCGGGTTCCACTCGAGCGATGGCTTATCTAGTGATGTCACTTGATGGTTTGTTTTCTCAGAGTATCGCCAGCCAATCCATCTCCATTTCTTGCTGCATATTTGTTTCACAATCGGTTCCTGTTGGGTTGGTTCGCTCATTGCCAGCGATCTCTGTTGCTGATCTTTTCTGGCAGGCCATCTGATCTTGAGGATTGAGCAAAGACAGCGGTTGATGAGGGTCTGAAGTTTGTTTGAGGTACTCTTTATGACGTGCAGTGCAAGTCTCTGATCCGTATAGTAGCACTGACTTCACATTACAGTTGAAAATCCGGATCTTATTTTCAATTTTCATGTTGAGTGCTGTTGACCTCCACACAGACTTGATAGTAATGAAAGCTCGTCTTGCTTTTCCGATTCTGGCTTTGATATCCTCGTCAGTTCTGTCCGCCTCTAGTTGAAACGATGTTTCCCAGGTAGGTAAAGGAGGTTGTTTCTTTCAGGTTCCTCCCTTTTATCCTGGCTGATTGTCGTCTGTTGTTGTTGTTGTTGCTGTGGCTGTTGCTGTTGGCTAGGAATCTTCATCACCTCTGTTTTACCTATGTTCACTTGAAGTGATGTCCTATCTTTGATGCTTCTTCTTTGGCCAGCTTGTTGCTTTCCACTTGCATATTTACCAGTTTTGTGGGAAATCAGACATATATCATCGGCGAAGTCCAGATCCTCCAAGTTTTTTGTGTGAGTCCATTTTATGCCTGTTTCCTCGCAGCCCGTTGTCTGTCACATTTTCAAATCTACTGCAATCAGGAAAATCATTGGCGACAGTAGACAACCTTGCCTCACTCCCGTCCTCACTTCGAAGGATTCCGTAAGTTCCCCGTCATGGATTACTCGGCATGTAGCATTGTCGTATAACTGTTGGATGAGATGTGTAATTGTCAATGGGACCCCGTAGTAGTGAAGTAGTTGCCAAATGACCACTTGATCGACGCTGTCGAAGGCCTTTTTAAAGTCGATGGAGTTGAGATAGAGAGGTGACTGCCATTCCAAGCTTTAACAACAATAATATTGGGTATTGGAAACTATGATATGTGTATGCGTGGTGAACAGTAAAAGCTCTAATCATACAAGAAGTTATGAAATGATATAAGGGAATGTTTATAGCCAAGATGATCAGTTAATTTGATTGAACAACACTAAACAATCATAAAATAAACATTTCAGGCTGTCTTTTTTTATTGTCAGCTCTAATGCGGTGTTTGTTGTGGTAGTGTGAGTAAACCTGCATAATATAAAATTTTTAAGATGGTGATAGTGGCGTTCACAAACAAGATTTTCAGTTAAATAGTGCTGAACAAAGAACAACCACAAAACTAATATTGCATGATGGTTAATGACAGGACAATTTTGAAATACTCATAGTGATAATATAGTCGGGACCAGTAGATACACAAAAGAAGGAATAGAATAAAGTATAAAAAAGTAAGCCAATGATAATAATATTAAGTAGCTAAGTGTGTTTAAGAAGGTTGTTCACTATAGAGTACAAATAAGAGAGTATAAGGGAGGAATAACACGGCCAAAATTATGTTATTAACAACAAAGCAAGTCATAGGTTTCGCGGTTGGCATTCAAACCGACAGACTCAATTAGAAACAAGCTTTGTTGGTGAAAGGATCCTGTGGAGCCTTTAAAACAAAACAATTTAGTTTATCTATTACCCTGCCTGCAATGATTGTCAGGTCAAATACATAGGTCGAACTAGTAGAATAGGGGCAGTCAGACTATCCCAGCATAAAAGCTTGGCAAAATTTAGATTAGTTGACTCGAATAAGATAAGAAATCTGGAGAATAGTTCAGCTACAGCATTCACTACGTGCAATTACAGACAACCATACAATGGGATGGGATAGGATGACAGTTTTCAAATCTAATGCAACCACATGGTAGAAGGAAAGATTGATAACAGAAGTTTTGTTTATCGAATCAACTGCAAATACGTGTTATAGGAATGATTCAACACCTGTCCCAGATATCTGGAAAATTCTGCTATCCCTACGACGACAAATAGAAAGGAACAGAGAAGACTGTAAAACTCAAGTTTCGAAGTCGTGTGATTATAATTGATGAAATGATTATGAACATTAAATTGTGTTCTCAACTTCGTCATCGAGTAAATAATACTGTTTCACTTTGTGATAAATCTAATAGACAAACTAATATGGTAATGAACTCGACTGGTATGTTATAATACCGCCTATTCGTCTGTTGACCCTCTGCTTCACTGAGTCACGCAAATATGAAAAGAAAAAGGCATACTGGCGCCTGTGTGTGCGTAAGATTATTGGACACCTATTAGGCAACACAACATAACATAATCATTCAAGTATTGGTTTGTAGGGATTTGATTGATTGATCGGTTACAGGATTGGTTAGAGAACCATTGGAAAACTGCCTTGGAGTACTGGACAGCCAGCTGTTTCGTCCTAGTTTGGGACTCTTCGCCTTGTAACCAGAAGGTCCTGGGTTGGAACTCTGGTGGTGGTGGGTGCGTACTGATGAAGAGCTTCAAACTAGGCTGACGAAACAGATGACTGCCCAATACTCCCAGCTGGTTTTCCAGTGGTTCTCTAGCCAACTGATGGCAGCTCATGATGAAATCCTGTAACCATACCATAATCATATTTATACATTTTCTATACCACAATAATGTCGGCTTACAGTCATGAGAATGGATTTTTCTTATTGGTTGGCAATAACTATTCGGATTGGTTGGTGATCCAACTAAGACAAAGGTGTGAGAAAAGAGATGATGAATTGATCACACAGTAAATCAGAATATGTGGGCGAAATGATAGTTCCTATCATACTGACTCACTGACCGACTGACTAAAGGGAGTCTCGGTGTAGACAGTTTTGTCCAGAAGTTCATCAGTTTCAATTTGTCACACTCCACATGTTGTAACTCAAAGGTGAAGAAAAGAAGAGATTCAAACGAACAGAAATGTCAAGGAGAAGAAATAATAACATCGGACAACATGATATGGATATTGGATATGTGAGATTGGAAAGAGTGAATGCATATGCTCCAGTCAGGAATACTTTTGAGTTATATTGCTAAATTGCCTGCAACCAATACTTCTTAGCATTCTGACAATCTCAGCCACACAGTCTACACTACTCTAATTGGCTGATTCAAACCAACAGAGTCAGCTAACATTACTTGACTAAGAAGGCGGTGGGTTGGCATGCTTAATAATTTTCTTAGCCATTTCAATAGTTGCACCTTGACAACTTCATCAATTGACCTGCCCTCCTTACCTGGTACTCTACTCTCCATAATGATAATAATAGTAACGTCCGACTATCGACCAAAGGGCGTGTGTACTGCTCATCAGTCCACTCCATCCTCCTTTATGGCTGGTTGTGAGACCTGGTCATTGAGAGTGGAAGACATGAAAAGATTAGCTGTCTTCAATCATAGGTGCCTGCGCTCTATCTCCCGTGTGAGGTGGTATAATAAGGTGAGCAATATTGGAGTTAGGGTTCAGTCGAGTTCTAGGTAAGGAGGGAAATCAATCGATGAGGTTGTGAAGTTACATCGACTGAGATGGTTAGGACACCTGTTACGTCTGTCTGTCTGTCTGTCTGGATTCAACATAGAACTTGGCACCGAACTGCACCAGTTCGAGTTGCCACGTTCCAAATAGCACACAGAGGTAGACAAGAAGATGAGTGAAGAGAATTAATAGAGTTTGACAAGTATAAGAGTGAAACAGAATGGGTAATGGTAGAAAGGAATATGAAAGATTACAAAGACTGAATACATCTGCACTGGCCATTGACAACGATTTTGAGCCATGTCACCTATTGTCTCCAGCCATTGATTCCTAGAGTCCCGAGGGCCCCAACCCGGGAGTCTCCATCTCCCTACCTGACTCAGTTTAACTGTAAAGGATTTCATGGATTGATGAGGCCATGTTTTTGTTTGGCCACCACTGGCTCTTTTCCAACCTGCACCTATATCAGCTAGCAATGCCCGTCGGGGGAGGCGGTGGTTAGGCATGCGCACGCAGCACGTGACCTAGCCATCTCAATTTATGTAACTTTATAGCCTCATCGATTGATTTTCCCTCTTTACCCGACACTCTACGCCGAACGTTACGTATGCCTAGTCATCTACCGCCTTCCTCGACGGGCAGTGTTAGCTGACATAGGGTCAGGCTGGAAGAGAGCTAGCGGTGGTTAAACCAAAACGTGACAGTCAATGAAGTCCACAACAATTAGTTTAAGCCAGCCACGTAGGAAGGTGTAGACTTTCTGAATGGTTGGGGTCCTCGGGAAGGTAAAAACCAATGGTTGGAAACAATTCGTGTTATGGCTCAAACTCATCGTTCTCAATGGCTGGGGCAAATGCATCCACTTCTTGTGACTTATGATTTCCAATGAAACTATATTGTTCTTCGTTATTACTATTTCTTTGTCTCACACCTTTGTTTACTGTCTCTATTATGTATTTCTTCTGTTGCTTTGTGTGCTACATGAAGGGAGTGTGGCGGCTTGAACTGCCTCACATTAATGCAAAGTTCTATATCAAAGACAGACA